ATTTTCGATATTTTCCTGATAAAATTTCAATATGGAGTCATGGGCCCTTTTTCACCAATAACCTAAAAAATGTCCTTCCGTTATGTTCACCTGGAATATTAATTTAATCCACCTATTATTATTATTATTATTATTATTATTATTATTATTATTATTATTATTATTATTATTATTATTATTATTATTATTATTATTATTATTATTATTATTATTATTATCATAATTACTACGTTCGTTAAGTGTAAAACTTTATTTAGTTTATTATATATTTTTCTTGAGTAAAAAATTTCTCATTTTGTATTTTTTTAAACACATTATTAAAATAAATTACTTATTAAAAAAACTAATACGACGCCATATTGAAATATTTAAAAAAAAAATGTTATGAATATCGTTAAAATTAAAACTAAAGAAATGAAAAATTTTTAAATCATTATTGTCATCATTTCAAGTATTAATTTATTACTGTCGTCTTAATAAAAAAAAGTATAAATAAAAAAAAAAAACAAATTGTCTATTTATTTATTTATTTTGTTAACATTAACATTGACGATTGTTCGATTAACGTTTTTTTAATGAAAATATATGATGACGTCATCATATTTATTTTAAACGGTAAAAAATTTATTTATTTATTTTTTTTAAATCCCGTCTTTTGTTTTCAATTTTCAAATTGAAATTTTTCTGTTGTTCTGCTGTTGTTGTCAGGATTGTTAACCAATTAGTAAAAAAATGTTTTCAAAAACAAAGAAAAATTTTCCATGTTTTTTTTTTTTTTTTTTTTTTACAAAAAAGGAACCTCAATGTTTTACGTGTAATTAGAAAACAAAACATTTTTTTTTTCTTTATTCATATGCAAATTTTTTTTTTTTAATTGTCAAATAGACAATATATATTTAATGAGGGGGGACAATTTTTTTTTTTCTTTTGTTAATCGATCGCTGTCGGTAAGAAAAATCTTTTTTCAGGTTTCCTATTGAATATGGGTCGTTGCCTGACGTTATTTGTCGTAACTCTTTTCGTTTGTTCACAGGTATAACAAATTTTTTTTTTTTTTTTTTTATTGTTAATAAACGATCGATAAAAAATGTTTTTTTTTGTTTGTTTTAGGTTATGTTTATCGAGGGCAAAACTGTTACTAGAACCTCTAATAGATGCGGTCCAGGAAACACTAAAGTACCAAAAAACACGCCTTTAAGAAGACCAGGAGGAAATCCTAACATGCCGGGTCCTTATATCCCGGGTACCAACAGAAATTCACACAGAAATTTTCTTTATTATTATTAAAAAACTTAATCACATCGAAAAAATTATTTATTCATCTATTTATAAATCCGTGAAAATTTTATTTTAAAAAAATAAATTTTAAACGTTTTTATTATTATTATTTTATTAAATATTAAAACCGTTGAAATTTTATTATGTGTACGGGATACAAACAATCGCAAATAATAAATAAACACACACTAGAGATAATAATAATTATTTTTAAATTTATTATTAAAATTTCTATTATTTAAATAAAAACAAAATGGCGGCGTATTATCGTGTACGCAAAGGACAAATATTTCGAACGTGTAATTAGATATTTTATTCAATTGTTTTTTTATTCAAATGTAAATTTTTATTTTTTAACGACAGGTATTTAAATAAGGGGGCAAAAAAATTTTTTTTCTATCGTTAATTAATCGTCTGCTGTTGCTGGTGTTGCTGCTGGGAAATTCTGCACAAACGTCAAATATGGGAAATTATTTGAAATTGTTAGTTTTTACGCTTTTCATATTCGCTCAGGTATCAAATTTATATATGAATGATTGGTAGAAATTTTTTTTAAATAATAATAATAATAACTGTTAAGATATCTATTTCCGTTTTTTCTCGTCATTATTTTATTAAATTAAAAAAAAAATTTGAATTTTCTTTTAGGTTATGTTCATCGAAGGAAAAACCGTTTGTAGAAACAATCACAGACACGGACCAGGAAATAATAAATTACCATAATCGAAAAAATTTTTTTTCGATTAATAATAAAATGATAAAAAATTTATTAATCCGTCAATAAATAAATTTAAATTTAAATAAATTATTAATAAAAAATAAATTAATGAAAATTTTTTTTGTGTGCGTAAGTTAAACAAACCGCGAAAATATTAATTTTAAATGTTGTTTTTTTTCCTAAAGTTCAATTTTAATTACCTCCTCGAAATTAAATACCTTCTCCTGCTGCTGTTGGTGCTGCTGTTGGTGCTGCTGTTGCTGCTGCCGTTAAACAATCACTTCTAATTTTTCCCGTGTTCAGATATGTGTTTGCATTTTTTTTTGTTTTGTTTCTGTTGTAATTTTTAATTAATGAGTTTATTCAAATGCAAATTTTTTTTTATTAAAACATTTAAATCATGAAAAAAATTTTTTTTTTTTTTATTCAGTCGTAAAAGAAAATCTGAAGTTAATCTTTATAAAAAAAAAAAAATATGGGACGTTATTTGACATTATTTGTCGTTACTCTTTTCATTTGTGCTCAGGTAATTAATTTATTTATTTAAAAGTAATTTTTAAACAATAAAAAACAATTTACGACGATTAAATTTTCCTTTTTTTCTTTAGGTATTGTTTATCGAAGCTACAACTGTTTATAAAGACAATCATAGAAGAGGAACCGGAAATACAAAAGTACCCAAGGGTAGAAGATAAATAAAAGAGAAAAATTTTTTTTTTATTTTAAATTTTTAAAATAAAATTCGGATTTTTTTATCAATGAATGACAAAATAATAATAAATAATTATTATTAAATTTTAAAATTTATATTTATTTATTTATTTATTTATTTATTTATTTTTTTCGTTAAAAAACGAAAATTTCATATTTAAAATTCAATTATTTGTGAAAATTGAAATTAAAAGGAAAATTGTTTACATTACATCGGTCGTTTTCGTTCTCTTTCGTCATGCGTTACGTAAGCATTTATTTCGACCAATCAGAACGAAGGATTTCATTTAAACGTTTGTTACGTCATCGAAGTTTCCGCCTCTTCATTTTTCACGCAGGTTTATTCAATTTATTTCAATCCGTTGTCAAAATCGTTCGTTTTTATTTTTTTTAAAAATAAATTTAATTTAAAATTCGGTTTTAATATTTATTAAATTTATAATTTATTAATTAAATAATTATTTATTTGTCGGTTGATATTTTTATTAAATAAAATAAAAATTAAATTATTTCGATAATACGTCAACAAATTTATTTTTTCACGTGTATTTTTTTATAAATTTTTTTTTTTTTTTTATAATTGAAAATTATTATTATTATTATTTTTTTTTTTTTTCGAATTTATTTATTTTTTTTTAAACCAATTACAAATACAAGAACCGTTTGGTCTCCTGTTGGGTGTCGCTGTAATACAAAAAAAAAATAATAATAAAATTTTATTAACAAAAATGGCGTCGAAACAAAAAAAAAAAAATTTTTTTTCAAATATTTTTTCACTCACGGTTTCTTAATTTATCATATAAACCTTCGACGAAATCAAAAGGTGACCACAAAGGGTCACAAGACCCTCTATGTATTTGACCTAAATAATAATAGTTTAAAAATAAAAATTTATTAATTTAAACACAATTTTTAAATAAATTATTTATTAAAAAAATTAATACGACGCCATATTGAAATAAATATTTTTTTAAAAAAATGTTAACAGTACCATTAAAATTAAAACTAAAAAAATGAAAAATTTATTAATCATTATCATCATTTCAACTATTAATTAATTTCTGTCGTCTTAATAATAAAAAATTTTTTTTTTTTACAAAAAAAATTTAAACAAAAAAAAAAAGAAAAAAACAAATTGTTTATTTATTTATTTATTTATTTTGTTTACATTTACATTGACAATTGTTTCATTGACGTTTTTTTTTTTTTTTTTAAATTTTGAGCGCAACATTTATTTGTTTTTTTTTTATTATTGAAAAATCATTATGATGACGTCATCATATTTATTTTAAACGATTAAAAAATAGTTTGAGAAAATTTATTAAAAATAATTTTTAATTTTTATTAGTTTTGACGCCCGTTTTATTTTTATTAATTTTGTTTTATTGATAATTAATTTACTAGTAATCAATTGTACTCCCGACATTCAAAAAAAAAAAAAACAAAGAAAAATAGTTGTTTTCTTTTTTTTTTTTTTCTCGAAATGTAAGTGTTAATTAATTAACTTTTTTTTTTGTTTGGATTCAGGTGAGTAATAATTTTCTTTAATGCTTAATCAAAAGGAAAAAAAATTAGCATAATCGTTATGCTTTTTTTCGTAATATAAAAGATGAATTTCTGATTTTTTAATGTCTTTGATTTTATGTAACGGCTTAAACGTTATCATTTTATTTGTATTTTTGTATTTGTATTTAAAAAAGTAAAAAAAAAAGAAAATGTTACTTTTACAACTATTGTTTATTGCATCTACAGTGGTTTTACAGGTAAAAATTATTATTATTATTATTTTTTTTTTTTTAATAAAATCAGATTCGTTTTAAAACATGAATTTAAGATAAAAAACTAATTATTTCTGAAAATATAAAATTATTTAACGCCGGTTTGAGTTTGCCGTAGTTACCATTTCTTTAAAGAGAATTTTTATTTTTATTTTTCAATTTTTTTTTTAGGCGAATGTTAGTAATGCTGATGTGCATGAAACACATGCTGCAGCGAGCAATTTTTGGCAATGGCTTCTCTATTATCTTAGTAAGTTTTAATTAGTTTTTTATGTTGCCAAAAAAAATTAAGTTAAAGGTGTAATTTTATTTATTTAAATCAGGAAGCAGAAACGGAGGCAGATGCGGATGCAGAGACGGATGTGGAGGCGGATGTGGAGTCGGATGTAGAGGCAGATGTCCTTGTAGACGTACTACTACATCTCCTCCGACTACATCAACAACCGAGAAGACACCTGAAGAAGAAGGAGAAGAAAAAGAGGAAGAGGAAAACGTAGGGGAAAACGGAGATGATAGGGGAAAAAACAATAGGAATGAAATTACATCTACTCCAACTACTCCAGCATATGGAACTAGATCCAGACGTGCTGCAAATGTTGATCAAAGTTCTTATAACTCTCCACAAAATTCAACTTATAATCAACAAGAAGGAAAAAGAGAAGAAGACGAAGATGAAGATGAGGAAGGAAAACTAGAAGATGAAAACGCAATTGCTGCAAGAAATTCTACAACCACCACAACAACTACAACTCCTTCACCTACACTTAGATCCAGACGTTCTGTAAGAACTAACTCTTATAATCCTCGACAATATTCATTTGGAAACGGACCATGTCCCAAAAATGTTGAAATTGGCACTTTAAGACCTCCTAATGGAGGTTCAAACCCTATACAACTAATTACACTGACATTTTAAAATAAAATTAATATTTTCAAGAAGGAAAAAAAAGGGGGTGCCAACTTAACAGGTAAATTTTAATAATTTTTATAAATTATCAAATACTAAAAATTTTTTTTTATAATCAAATTAATTATTTTTCTTTTTTTTATGATTTTTAAGTTTTTACAGAAACGAAAAATTTTTTTTTTTAAGCGGAAATAATTTTAAATTTTCATAATTGATTTATTTACAATAATAATAACAATGCGCGTAACAGCATTTAATATTGACAAGTATTTATTTAACAATTTATTGAAAAACAAAACAAACAAAAGAAACATTTTTCTTATTGTTTTTTGTCAATTTATAAATTAATATTTTTCGTTTCATTTGTTTATTAT